TGGAAGGAGGCCACGACCTTAGAGTGGCAGCCGCCGCCCCTGACCTCTCTCTTCCTGACGCAGCGGCGGTGTGGAAGAGCCTCTACACCCTTACCCCCGTTTCGCCGTCGCTCCCTCTTCTCCCTCCTGAACACCCTTTGAAGCGCTCCCTTTTCCAACGCTCTCGACTCGCTCTTAAACACCCTTTTCCCAACTCTCCCGACACACTCGCTCTTTCATTTAGCCATCTGCCTCCCATAATATAATCTATGTACGGAGTTCTGTATATAAATAAACATACGGTTGAGGGGCGGGGGGGGGGGGGGGGTAAAGTGAACCCCAAAAAGTTTATTTTATTATAATATATTCAAAAAAGTAACCCTAGTAAACGGACCCAGAGCGTGGGAATAGCGACAGGCGGAATTTTGGAGAGAGGGGGAAGAGAGAGAGAGAGAGAGAGAGAGAGAGAGAGAGAGAGAGAGAGAGAGAGAGAGAGAGAGAGAGAGAGAGAGAGAGAGAGAGAGAGAGCGCATGCTGGCTGAGCGAAGGAAGCGAGGAGACGGGGTCCTGAGGGAAGCGTGGGGGAAGGGAGAGTGGAGGCGAGGGGCGGATGGGGGCAGGGGGAAGGGAGATGAGACGAGACGTGAAGGGGAGAGAGGAGAGGGGAGAGGGGTACAAGTATGATTAAATGGAACGGTACCTAGGAGGGTGGGGGGTATATTTTCGCCGATTCCGAGTGTGGCATTGTGAAGATTAATGTCTCTTATATCGGGGAACGGGGAGAGAATGAAGCGAGGGAGGGAATGGGGGCGGGGGGGGGGGAGGCTTACAGCCAAGCTCATACTGACGCGCTGATAAACTTTGTTAAGTTCTCGGACAAACAGAAGGAATTAATTTCGCTATGTGCGTGTGTGTGCGCGCGCGCGTACGTGTGCATAAATATATGCACTTATACAGAAATATATGCATATACATATTTACTTATATGCACGGCCCTTGCTGCCTCACAAACACGATCTGTTTACGAAGCGCCGCGTCCGTTCCTGCGGAAAATATGTTTAACGAGGCCGTGTCAATGGGGAGAGAATGGTCACAATCGGCCCCAACCCGCGGCCCTTCTCGCGCCTAGGTGGGAGTCCCTTATTGTTACCACCGGGAGCCTGGGGGAAGTGCGGAGGCTACGGGGGGGGGGGGGGACAGGGAGTGGTTCCCCACGAGGAAAGGAAGGTCGGATGGGAAGGGGAGGGGGGTTAAGGGAGGGTGACGACGCAAGTTTTCCCATCAACCCACCGACAAACTTTTCAGGTAGTCTATTTAACTTCTTTTATTGTCGGCGTCCCAGTACTTTTTATATGCATGTATTCTAAACACGACCGTACCTCTACCCCCCCCCCCCGACCGCTCGTACGGTACGACACCCCCCCCCCCCCCCGACAGTCCTCACGCACAGCACGCATTCGTTATTCTCCAAAAAATAATCCCGGAAAAAATCCTACCGAGCACATTGCGTCCCGTTGTGAAGAGAAAAAAAAATCCTTCTAAAATCTGTGCGAAGAGGAGAAAAAATCCCAAAACCTGCACCCGTTTGGAGTCAGCATCAGACGGTCGCATGATGTTATGAATCATTCCGAACTCAGCAATCCATGCGGTTTAGTGCAACGATGCAACCTCCCCCCCCCCGCTCCCTTCCGTCATCCCGCCCGCGCCAAGTTTCATGATTCATAAAAGATGAAAGGAACGAATAAAATATGAGCATAAAGAACAAACCGGCGCTTCGTTCGGGAGACAAATGACCGTGTGAGCGCCGCCTCATTGTTGCCAACGTAAATGGCACGCCGAAGTTGCCGCCTTTTTTCTCCTTTTGGGCGGATCAGACGGATCGCTTTGTGTCAGAGAGAATGAACAGCGTATCAGTGGGGAAAACCCTTATGAATCCAACTAATCCATCAGCTGTGATGGGGCAGCGCTCGGACACACCGACCCTCAGCTGATCAGACACGAAAGCAAATAAATAGGTCGTCCACCCTTCTCCCCTCTCCTCCCCTCCTCTCCCCTCGCAGACCCCCGGCCACAGCCTCGCCCTCTGCAGTTCAATCGTTACCGGGTCAATTGCTGATATGTATCTCACGGCTCTTAACCGGCGTGCCACGCGAGCTATGGCACCTCTCCATCTCCCGTCCCTCCACCGGCCGGCCATACCTCGCTCCCATCGCCTCACTGAAAATAGTCTCCGGCGAAATCAACCGATTATTTAGTTTCGTGACAATGAAAGGCAATTATCGAGCATATACATGAATACTTTCGAGATCATTTGCGAGGCCAGGTCCGTTACACTAATCAACCATTACCGATGTTTATAATTGCAGGCAGCCACCTCGCAGGCGGGCGTTGTGCGGGCAGTGCTGGCCGTAAACATGTGGCGATCGACCGCACGTCCAGCACGCTGCTCGCCAAGCTGCTCGCCGACCACACAGCACCACTCGCTCGCCGCAGCAGCACCTCGTCAAAATACTTTTAAAAATCCACGCCGCGAGGACCAAATGCTACGGCCTCATGGGGATAGAGGATAGGAGGGGGAAGGAGGGGAAGGGGCGATGATCTAGCCTGCGTTCTTCACACGGCGGCATCACCAATATCTAATCTGGGCTCGGCGAGGCAGCGCGGTCCTCCTGGATACATTTCAAGCTCCATAAACCACTCGGAACAGCCCATAAAGCAACATGAGTTTGAGATGCTTGCCTAGGGAGGGAAGGGAAGGGAGGAGGAGAGGCAGGTGGTGGGTGGGGAGGGCACGGCCTTTCTCGTCCCCAACCATCCCTCCTCCCTCCCTATCCTCCCTCATCCTCCCGTTCATAAAGCTTGACAAACTGGACTTCGGCAACTGGGACAACTTCCACACCCACACTCCCATCCCTCACCCGCGCCAGGCCAGGGGGTCCGGGAGGAGGGGAGAGGGCGGCAGAGGCTGGGAAGGAGAGGGGAGGGGGGGGAGAAGGTTGCACATACGTACTGTCGTTTATGAATCAACCGCAAGACTCGCCCACGTCAACAGAAAACGTTACTCATCAACAGCAATAATTCTTCTGCGGTGTGCGTTCTCGACCGTGCTAATGATGGATGACGTTTTCGCTTTCAATGCTGCTGTCACAACGTTTTTTCCATGCTTAATACACTCGGCGTGGCGCATAATGAGATGACCCTCCGCCAAAGACCGATTCTTTTTTTTTCTTCTTTGGGGAGAACTAAAAAAGAACATTAATTCCTTAATCATCGTAACATAAAAGAGGATGGCGTGTTAATCCCGATTGACTGCGCAAGGAAGGCGGGGTCATGAACACGCAAGTCATGACAATAGACACTTGAAGTAAATGATCCATTACTTATCTGCACTGAATTCTGCTTAACTCTGGCTTATTTATAGTCCGAAATAGCTATCGCTCTGAATGATATTAGGATCAATAACTCCAATAAAGACACTGCATACATCGCTTAAAATTTCGCCAGCGCCTCCAACCCACACCCCATTCCTCCTTCCCCTCTCCCTATCCTCCGGTCGTCATGCTCATTATCCTTAAACTTCTCGACCACGCCCAAGGCCTAAAATAAAATCAGGAGAGAAAAAAAATATGGATTGCGGCCGTGGATACATAGTCCCGCCTCCACCCACGGCGACACTGAGGAATTGTTGGCTCGGTCATGCCTCAAGCTTCCTCGGTGAGAACGAGGCCAAATATCTTTTTCCCACTATTTTCTGATGAAGCCAGGTCAGTAGTGTGCGTACAACTTACTACTTCTACAGCTCATAGATTCAACAAAAAATCGACAACATAAAAAGGCCTTCCAGTTTTGAGAGTTGTGCAGGGAAAATAGTCAGAAAAACATAGTTGGGAACTCGACTGGGCCGGCTGCCAAGTGACCAATTTTCTACCTCTCTTTCTTAACTTGCACTGTGCTTTACGTTTGGACAGAATATATACCGAGCACTAAACTACTTCTGCGTAATAACATTTGAAGTATAGAGGTTCTGAGAAAGAATAATGATCAAATGATAAAATCCTTCATCTGATATGTCTTCACCAAATGTTTTTCTTTACCTTGCCAACTCGCATGAACGCCTGACAGGTGGTGGATTCACTTTGTTTCTTTGCTTTTCATTTTCTTTCGTCAACATAAAATCTGACACATTTCCCCCGCTTAAACAGGTAAAAAATAATCTCTCACTTCTACATCGCCTATGAAAATAGTATTAGGCTACAACAGGATGACAAATGGCAAATTTTGTATGTCAACAGCATATGAATGTACATTTCAAATATTCACAAGACAAATTTTTTTTTTATTAACGAACACTTTCTATTTCCTATTTTTGAAAGATACTTAAAACGTTGGCGGTTGCTTGATTTTTTCTTTCTTAATCACATACGAGTCCAGACATTGGTAAGTAATGCAACAGAGTCAGTTTCACATATAATGCAACTCTGAATGAAAACGTGCAAACGAACGAAAAAGTACGGTAAAAGGCTAAATAATTTGCATGCGTACTATCCATGCATGCACACCTGTTGAAGCTATGGAAGGCTGATTTCCCTTGTGCATTATGTGAGTTCAAAGTATTTTTTTCATTTTGAACACTTTCGCGTCACAATTCTTCAACACTGTCGTAACTAACACATATACAAAATATTCCAGGGAAACTTTTATAACGAATATCAAATGTGTAAAATATTAATACTAAAGTGATAATTTAAACTGAAACACTACACACACTTAAAAACATGCAAATGTCCACTTCATATACATTAATTCACTTAAAATAAAAATCACATTGATAAATATTTTCATTTTCAACATTTCATCGAAAAACACATGAACATTTATATTAACTTTCTGTTCGTTACTACACTGAACACTAATTACCACACTTTGAACAAAATATGAACTACTGTGGACTTAGCGTATTTTCTGTGATTAGGGAAGTAGTGAAACGTGGCGCGCAAACACCGTAGACTTTGCATCCTTACCTGCCACAAAATCGTCTGTGAGGTCGACGGGCGTGCAGAATCCTGAGTCGACGAGGCCGCGGGTACGATCAGACGCCCACTCGCCGCCCGCAGTCTCGGCGCCCACAGAACAGCCGGAGTCCCTGGACAGACCCACGGTGTGAAGGAGCGAGGACGTGGAGACAGCGGGGGCCTGCTGCAATGTTTGTTGTTGCTGCTGTTGCTGTTGTTGCTGCTGGACGGGCTGGAGGGAGCGAGGGGTGAGAGCGTGAGCCCTCGCCAGGTCCAAGGAGGTGGTGAGGGAGGCGCCCATGCCCATGTGCTGGTGAGCCATGGGAGGGGCGGGCGCCGCGGCAAGAGCACCCATAGAGGTAGATAATGCTCGTGGGCGTGGGTGGACATGTACAGCACCGCCTGTCACCCTGGCTGGCCGCCCACTTCCTAAGTAATCCGGGAGATTGACACTGCTGGCGACAGACAAACCACGACGGGTTCGCGCCGCCCGCAACTTGGGTGAGCCGCCTGCAGTCCCACGTGTGGGCGTGCGGGCAAGAAGTGAGGGCGGCAGACCCGGAGCCACAAACTCTGCCTGTGGAGGAGCCATAGCAGCTGCTCGAGGGTTGCAGCAGGGCCCGAGACACCGGCCACCACTTCCCCACACCAACTGCTGCTGCTGTTGCTGCTGCTGAAGCAACGCTGCACTACTTCTGCTGGTAGTGCTGGTCATGGTGCTGGCGCTGCTGCTCACGCCCATCATGCTAGCATCGCGGACATTCTGTACACTTCTTGCACTTTGGCTCTGTACACTTCCTATATTTTGGTTCTGCACACTTCTTGCACTCTGGCTCTGTACACTTCTTGAAGCACTTTGGCTATGCACACTTTGTACGTTTCTAACACTCTGTGCATTGACTGATTTGACACTAGAAGAATTACAGTTGGGATTTCCACACATGCACCAGGTTCGCTGCTGTGTGCTGCGGGACGCCCTCGCCCCGGCCACTTGCTGGTGCTGCTGTGGGTTGGGCAGCTGCAATGGGGCCAGAGGGCGGGCTGCCCCTGACGTGGCCACCATGGCAGTGGGCGAAGGAGTCACGACGGCTCTGGACCTAGCCCGTACGGCTGATACATATCCTGGGTGTATCATAAGAATAGGCTCCGAGCCCTTCGGCGGATAGATGTGAGCGGGAAGGTCATACTCCACGGAGGTTTCCACTTGTAACGGTGAAAAATAATCCTTCTGGGGGTCAATAAGCGGCTTTCGTGAGGGCGAAGCATGTGGGGTCATGCTAGGATACGACCCACGACATACACTCGACACCATCTTGCCTCTCGCCACCACTACCAACACTTCATATAACACCACAGACACCACATGGGAGATCACTCAGCGATTCAAGAAACGTGCTCCCTCTCTGACGTGCTAACCCTGACTGATCCCAGCAGATGGCCCGCTACAGAAGATGGGTGCGTGCTCACTAAACCTCACGGTCTCCGCGCACCGTCTCTTTTTATCGATTACTTGATATTGTGTTTTATTCAATGTTTGAGTTTTGTTATGAGATACTAAGACGAACTGATATATTCAAAAGTTCAGAATGTTGCAAATAATTTTACATATTTTTCAGAGTTCGTGAGAATCAGCATCAGTCTGTGACAAAGGAAGCGTAGCAGCTGGGACTGGCTGGGCATGCGGGCGGTCATTGGGGCATAAAGATCACAAAGAAATCACCAGCCACCCTCCCACAAAGAAAATATCCTTAGTTTGGAACCCGACACGTCGGTGCATTCCGCCGGGGATGGTGTGGATTTGTCCTTTGCTGTTTGAATACTTCTTAGAATATATTCCGGTACATTGAGCGAAAGCCCTTCTAAAGAGCGGCCTCCTGCTCTCTAATCCGCCTAACGGCTTTATATTTATGTTGTAATACATTGACGGTCATGACTGCCGCGAGCGATTGATTAGCGTTGCCGATGCACACGACCGAGGTAAATTAACGGAAATTCCATTCCAAGTTCGACAACTCTTGTAATATAAACATGTTGGTACTCGATCTCGGACTTCCGGAGGGTCCAAGAGATGTCTCGCCTGTCAGTCGCCCTCCTCTTTAGGCCCGTGGACGGCTTCAGTAATCAGCCAGTACGCCAGGAAGAGGAAACGGCGGACAGCACTTAGTTCACCCGCAGGTTAAAGTAATTACATTGAATGTACAAAGAGGGGGGTAATGTAGCGATTCCTGCCGGGGCTGTAGGCGGTCTGATGTGAAAGTCTGCGGCCACGTGGTCGAAGAATACGATCTTTTTTCTCATGTATATTTTACTTTCAAATAAAAGCCACGAAATCGATGCCCCCAACCCGTTCCGAGATCCCGAAGTAGCTCGCATCATCGAGGAGCCAAGTATTCAAAACGCAGCCTAATCCAATGTCTTGTCAATACAGATGGCGCGGCGATAAAACGTTTGCCAAGCTCCAACGAAAAGCATTCCCCATCTCGAGTGATTTATGTCGGCAATGAAAATTTAATTCAGCATCGATTCGTGACCACACACGCTCGATGCTGAATGTGTCTGTGGGGACCGGGGAAGAGGGGGGGGGCGTGTGAGCGCTCAACAAAACGCAAAACTTAGCTGATATTACCTTTAATAATTAATCGGGGGACACGACGCAAAGTTACTGTGGTTCCTGCTCACCGCTGAAACTGTTCACCCTCTCCGCACTAACTTGTTCATTCTACCTTTCTCGTTCTCTCTCTCTCTCTCTCTCTCTCTCTCTCTCTCTCTCTCTCTCTCTCTCTCTCTCTCTCTCTCTCTCTCAACGCTCTTCGTTTAATTTCAGGAGCGAAAACTTTAGTGCAAGTAAAACGTTTGTCTTATGAATGCACAGCCTTGTGAACGAACGTGTTCTTTGTTGTTCATTGTTCGTTTCGAGATTGCCATCCTAGAACTATCAGGCGGATCAATTTCTCTAACAATGGACAATGAGAACAGTGATATAACTATAAAGTGTATTTTATTATATATCCACATATCTTAACGATTAATGGCACGGATACGCTGAATAATGACATACCTATAAATACCTAAACGTAAATAATTCAACGAAATATAGTATATTCACTCCAGAATAAATATTCTGCAGAAATGTCGTACAAACCGGAATATCATAAAGGGAACAGACCTATAAATGTGTACATAAATCTCTAGTTGACAACAGCGAGCAGTAGCCACATCGGGGGTAAAAAAAAAAATAATTCGAGATGAGATTAACAAACTCCAAAGTTTCTTTCTTCAGCTCGCACATTAGGGTATCTCGCTATAAGTTACTCATTTAAGTAAGCTTGCCTGAATATGTGGTTGTGATTAAGAGAGTATTTGCGCTTTTTCTGGGTTAAGTCTCGGCGAATAACTAGCACGAAGACCCGACCGTTAGGCTGCGGGAGGAACTTGGAAAATCTCTTAAATCGTGGCTTGCCGGGAGATTTCTGCAATACGCTCGATGACCGCGGGAGTTAGGGTAATATTAAGCAAGACAGCTTTGCAATAATTAGATCAGCGATTCGACGGGTTTGTCTTTGATTTTATTATGGTGGAGCTGATGGCGGCACGCAGGGTGTTGGGTGCGGGGGGGGTGGGAGGGGGCTGCGGGCTAGGGGGGGGGGAGGGGGTTGGCGTGAGAAGCCCCACCATCTATACAACGTTAGGCTCTTCGCTGTTGCCACCTTTTCACGCTCTAAGTATTTATTAAATTGGTTCGTTCTTTTTTCATTACCCAACGTGGTGGAATTCCTCTCGACATGTATTCTCTCCTCGTTCGTATTCTTCGCTGTTAAAGCCAAATTTTTCGAACAATTATCACATTCGGAGATGAGAAATCTTTAGACCCACTAAAAAGAAAAGAAAAAAAAAGGTCGACCGACACGAGGGCGCTCGGACCCGACCGCGGGATCGCCGAGGGTCCCCCAAGGCCCGCCCATTAAATCGCCAATTGGGTGTTATCGGTAAAGAGCGATTTCGTTCTACTCCTCACCCCCCTCCCGCACCTCACCCTCCCCTACCTCCCCTCACCCCCACCTCCCTTCTCCCCCATCTCCTATCTTCCCCTCCCAACCCATCCCACTTTCCCTCTCCTCCCCTCCCCCACCTCCTATCTTCCCCCAACCCCTCCCACACCTCCCCTCTCCCCCTTTCCTACCTCCTATCTCCCCCCACCCCCTCTTTCCCTCCCCTTTCCCCTCCTTCCCCTCGACACAATGCGTACACTCCACTCCTCTCCCTTAATAACTGGCTTTATCGGCCGCACCGTTTTAATCCACGCGTTAGTCGATTTATACTTGTAGATCGAAATCTTGTTTAGGGAACTGATTTGTAATTGCTAAAAAATACGTAAGCGGATTGGGAAACTTTGATTTTGAATGGAATTTCTTCTGCTTTATGATTGATTTAGAGAGACTAAGTTGAATGGAGTTTATTCATAGTTGATGGGAGAAACTTTGATTCTGAATGAATGAGTTTTTATTCATAATCGAGGTTGGTAAAATAATATCACTCGTACTCGTTGTTATCGCAAACTGGCAAATTAAACAAAATCTGCAAAGTCTTGTTCTGCATCGCTTCCTTGCATTCTTTGTGTGAGCGGTGAGTCCATGATGTTCATTTTAATTCCGAAAGCTAATTATATTGCGGGATTTTCATTTAAATTAGACACGAACCGTCTGTGTAACGTTTGCATCTCTCTTCTTTCTTCATTTGCCATCTGCTTCTCTCTCTCTCTCTCTCTCTCTCTCTCTCTCTCTCTCTCTCTCTCTCTCTCTCTCTCTCTCTCTCTCTCTCTCTCTCTCTCTCTCTCTCTCCCCGCCTTTCCCTTTATCCTAACGTGGCTTTCATGTCATTCATAATCTTCCCTTCTTGCCCGGACTCCAGCTTCCTCTGCTCCCATCCTCTTCCCACCCCGGCCACTCTCCCTCCCCCCCCCCCCCTACTTGTCCTTCATTACTCCCCCATTGTCTCCCTCTTCGTCACCCCGCATCCTTCTCGCGGTCGTCTCCCTCCTATCCTCTTTCTCTCCCCTCTTTCCTCCACCCTTCTATGCCGTTTCCCTTTCCTCCCCTCGACCCCCGCCCCCCCTCTCTCTCTTCCTCCCTCCATCCGCCGGCCCTTGAGTTTCTCATTCTCTCCTTCTGTTGTTGATAACGTACGTCGTCTTTTTTCTCTCTCTCTCGCCCATTATATTTGTTCGGAATAATTGTAGTTCCAGTGGCCTGGCGCCCTCTAGGTTCCCCATGACCCGAAATGAAGAAAACATTCCTACATTATCATACCCCTTATTAGCATAAACCCTCCCCGAGTATGAATACAGTTAACAGGTAACTTCTAAGACGCCCTTCCTGTCGGGGGTGCTATCGGTCAGACCTTTGGCTCGGGCTTAGGGTCCCTGCTGAGGACAATTGCTTGGGGGATATAACCGATGACCATTACTGTACACAGCGTAGCACTGTGGAAGTTCAGATCGATGAATAATACAGCGAAACTGTCTGCGTAATGATTGAGGGATACTTTACACTGGAAACCTGATAGAATATTGCGTGTGTGGCCCTAATGGCGGGTGTAGGGGAAGTGCTTCTTTTTTTTCTTCTTTTTTTTTTTTTTTTTTTTTTTTACGACCGTCTGATTAGCCTGTGTGTGTAAAATCTGGGATCTTAGGAAAAATCCTTGGTTGAATTTTCTGGGGGGAGGAAGCATGAAGGCTGTCAAAGTGTAGCTGGTGGGTTGTACAAATAAACAAATAGTGGGCGTGTGTGTTTGGGAAGGTGCGGCCGATGGGGAGAGGTTGCTGAAGGAGAGGGAGAGGAGAGAGGGCCGTTAAAGGAGGTGTTTGGAGGAAGGCAAGGGCCGCTGAGGGGAATTCGTAAAAGGGAAAGGAAAGAAAGGCCCGATAAATGAAGAACAGGGACTTCCGTTGAAGGTATGGGTGTTGCTGTAGAGAAGAGAGAGAGAGAGAGAGAGAGAGAGAGAGAGAGAGAGAGAGAGAGAGAGAGAGAGAGAGAGAGAGAGAGAGAGAGAGAGAGAGAGAGACGTCGTGATGTGACAGCTTCTTAGATAGAGCGAAGAGAAACAAGAGAATCGAGAAAGGGACAGCGGGCGACAGAGAGAGAGGCAGTCACTGTGAAGGAGAGCGAGCGGATGCAGTGGTAAGGCTGATGAGCTTTGTTTCATCAGATTAGTGTCTGGCGAAGAGTCGTTAATCTCTCTCTCTCTCTCTCTCTCTCTCTCTCTCTCTCTCTCTCTCTCTCTCCTCTCTCTCTCTCTCTCTCTCTCTCTCTCTCTCTCTCTCTCTCTCTCTCTTCCTATTCAATCCGCAGGCTTCTTTGTGATTCCCTTTTCTTTATCGTGCATACTCAACCAGCTTCGAGGTCGCAGGCTATGAAGTTT